CAGGGGCGTGCCGTTTGGATTAAGGCCTCTCCCCTGTCCGGGGCGTGCCGTTTGGATTAAGGCCTCTCCCCTCTCAGGGGCGTGCCGTTTGGATTAAGGCCTCTCCCCTGTCCGGGGCGTGCCGTTTGGATTAAGGCCTCTCCCCTCTCAGGGGCGTGCCGTTTGGATTAAGGCCTCTCCCCTGTCCGGGGCGTGCCGTTTGGATTAAGGCCTCTCCCCTGTCCGGGGCGTGCCGTTTGGATTAAGCTGGACATAAGTTGAAAATGTTTTTGTAGATGGAGAATCTTTCAGGTCCAATTACCCCACACCTCTCAAGATGATTGCTCAAAAACACCCCCTTCACTGACTTATGAGAGAATATAGTTTTACCCAGTAGCCTGGGCTTTTAGATTGGAAAGACTCATGAACCTTAGGTCCTATTTTCAGGTGCAAAGTTATTTTGAGGTCAAGACAATGGCCAGAACAGCTAACAGGTCATCGGGAGCAATGTAAATGTGCGACTGTTGGGTTTTGGTGCTGTTTTCATGACAGCCATCGCTTCCTGTGTATGGCTGTGGTGTCTGGATGGGGGGTGTCACAGTTACCCCCCGGGGTGTTTTTGCCTCAGCTGCCACTAGAGGGCAGGGATTCTAAAACCAAAGCCATCTTCCAGTTTGCCCAGTGGGCGGCTTCTGGCCTGTCTCCCCGTCCCCCAGCTTAGCCGTGGGGAGAACGGAGTGTTTTTTGGCTGCTCTGCCTGCAATTTCACACACGGCAACTAGGCCCAAAAGCACAGGAGGGTTTTTAATTATTTCACTGCAGAAATTCCAGCCCGTGTGCGAATGCCGGCGCCATCACGCCCCTCGCTGGCCGGCAGGTAATACAGAGAAACCTCCCAAGGTCCCAGGTGGAACATCTACCGCCTTCTTGTTTATATACAGCCCTCGTCCATCAATGGATTCCATGTCCTGGGATTCTGCCTTTTTTTTTCTTTCAAATTAATAGCTTTCATGTACTTTAAGGATACAAGCACTTGATTTACTGCAGTTTAAAACCCACCTTCTGGCTGCTTTTCAGCTTTCCAGCCTTAATGAATTTCCAAGTAGAGTGTGTGTACAGGGTATCCCCAGCCCCCCCCCACTCCCCACTACCCGCCACCCTTAGCAATGGGGGTTAGGGAGGAGAAAGGCCTATTGAGGGCAGAGAGCCCCCTGAGGCAGGGCAGATCGGGGCACTGTTTGTTGGGGGGGGGTACATTTCACAGGAGTCCCCTGTCCCCAGTACATGCTGGCTGGCCCTCCATATGCATGCCAATGAGGATGGAGATGATGCTCACCCCTACCCCCCACCCCCACCCCCACCCAAGGCACACGCACATTTGCTGTCCCTTGATAGACTTGTCTTGTCCCAAACACGGTAAATGTGATAGCGGCACACCGCCCCCCCCCCACCGCAATGGCGCCTGCGTCTGTTTCTCAGTTTTTCTACATGTTTCACGCTCCCCAGTGACCCCCCCCCCCGGAAGCCCCGAGAAGGTTACAGTTAGGCCCTGCTCTCTCTGGGGCGGGGGCTTACCTACAGACCACAAAAACAAAACATTCCCTTCACATGAAAATAATAATTGTTATGAGGCCCCCATTCACCCAAGCCTCAGGTGGTAAATTTACATATATGTGTGTATTTATCTGTGATGTGTATATATATAATATATATATACAATAATATATTTAATATATATATCTCACAAATCTGTATGTGTGGGATCCTAGTTCAGATATGTATGCACACTGATTTTGTGCTGTGTATATATAATATTTTATATTTTTATTTATATATATCTCACTAACCTGGGTGTGTGGAGTCATATTTTCCATATATATGTTCATTGATTTGTTTGTACTGTGCACAATAATATTTTATCGCTGGCCAGTCCCCAGCCCTTAACACAGGACTGGATTATACATTCATTTATTTGTCAACAGAGACGTAGGTGCGGCAGCGGCTTGAGGCTGCCCTTCAAAGGGGCAGGGCTTCGATTGGCCAGGCAGTAAGCAAGGCCGGCCCCCGCGGTGCTGCAGGGCTTCGATTGGGCAGCCAGTAAGCGAGGCCGGCCCCCGCGGTGCTGCAGGGCTTCGATTGGGCAGGCAGTAAGCGAGGCCGGCCCCCGCGGTGCTGCGGGGCTTCGATTGGGCAGGCGGTAAGCGAGGCCGGCCCCCGCGGGGCTGCGGGGCTTCGATTGGCCAGGCGGTAAGCGAGGCCGGCCCCCGCGGGGCTGCGGGGCTTCGATTGGCCAGGCGGTAAGCGAGGCCGGCCCCCGCGGTGCTGCGGGGCTTCGATTGGCCAGGCGGTAAGCGAGGCCGGCCCCCGCGGTGCTGCGGGGTTTTGATTGGGCAGGCGGTAAGCGAGGCCGGCCCTCGCGGTGCTGCGGGGTTTTGATTGGCCAGGCGGTAAGCGAGGCTGGCCCCCGCGGTGCTGCGGGATTTTGATTGGCCAGGCGGTAAGCGAGGCTGGCCCCCGCGGTGCTGCGGGATTTTGATTGGCCAGGCGGTAAGCGAGGCCGCCCCCCTGCGGGGCTGCGGCGTGTGGGTCGCCTCGCAGCTGAACGTGGCCCCAGGTTAATGCGGCAGCTGTTTTCGCGCCCCCAGTCCGGTCCAGCAACAGAGGACAGGCGTGCAGAGGAGCCCAGGGAGGGAGAATCTTTTCTTTGAGGGAGAAAGCGGCCGCGACGGGGTCCAGACTGGAGATTGACACGGAATAAGGCGTTGTTCCTGCCCCCCCCCACACAGGTCGGCCCTGAAGGTTGTCTTCCTCCCCGACAGCCCACTCTGCGGCCCGGAGTTCGCGCCCATATTGGCAGAGAGTCCCGTCATTCTTTGTACTTTTAGGGTTAGGGGGCGGCTGACCAATACGATTCATGGTGATTGTGCCGCTATTACAAATCGTCGGCTGTTGTTAGCCTGGAACACGAGGGGCGTGGGGGGGGGGGGTGGTTTGAGAGACTCCGCAGAGGAAAGCCTGATGCCTGATGCCGGTGTGTGTGTGTGTGTGTGGATTATATTTACACACATTGTGGGGACCAAATGTTATTTTGACGTTTTTCAGGTCCCCACAAAGATGTATGTATGCAATCAAAAAATTTAACATGCCAAAACTCTCATATTTTGTTTGGTTATTTATGGTTAAGGTTAGGGCTGGGTAGGGGTTACAGTTTTCATGTTCGGATTAGAGTTTTCCCCCATATAAATGAATGGAGAGTCCCCACAAAGATATAATTACAAACCTGTGCGAGTGTGTCTGCGTGTGTCTGTGCGCGCGCGTGTGTGTGTGTCTGTGTGTGTGTGTGTGTGTTTGTGTGTGCGCGCGTGTGTATATAATGTCCCCATAACATGATAAATATCCATTTTTTTCTCCCGGTTTCCTGGTCCCCATAAGGGAAAACTCTATTTTATAAAAATTGGAAAAAACTAAAAATGCAAAAACTCTTGTATTTTGTTAGGTTACTTATGGTTATGGTTAGGGCAGGGTAGGGGTTAAGGTTGTCATAGTTAGCGTTAGCATTTTTC